TTAAGTTTATAATATTTAAATTATTTAGTAGGGCCTAGAAATCTAGATTTATCTAATATCTACTAATATCTACTAGGCCTATCGTATCTAAGTAGGGCCTATCTATTTCTATTATTTATTAATAATAATAATATTAGAATAGATCTAGACTTACTAGATCTAGTAGACTCTCTAGTCTAGACTAGTATTTTTATATTTAATAATTTATTAAACATATTAAAAAGCCGTAGCATACTATAGATAGATCTAGATATCTAGATCTAGAATCTTAGTTAAACTTAGTTAGTAGTAGATCTAGTAGTTAGTATCATGGCGTAGAAGAGCAGGCCTAACAAAAATTATGAAACTTGCGTTAAAAACACTTTTAAAAAAAAAGGTAGATTAACAATTAATAAGTTAATGTTAATAATGTTAGATCTTAATAATCTGAGCATAACAGTCATAAAAAAACTAGCCAACTGTAATGAAAGGGGATACAAACGAATTTTTAAAGCTTGAATCGAACTGAAAATCTTCCCTTGTTCGCCATTTTGTTTATTTTGATTACCTTGTCCGTATTTATCATGGATAACAAATGTTATGACTTGCATCGTTTACCTCTCCCTGGCCACTTCAGTTCAGTTCAAGGTGGGGTTGAGGGCGGTTTTATAAAATATGTAAATTAGTACAATTATTCAAAATTATTTTTAACGGCTTCTGTTCAACACAAAAATATGAAAATGAGTGTAATCGATGGTTCCTAATCGACTTTAATTTTTAAAATTGTAGCTATAATTTTATCGCTAGCCATATTTTTAAAAATAATTTTTAAAAAATTTAGTATGATTACATAGACTTTTCCTTAGCTTAAAAAAGTTAAACCTCTAAGATTTGTTTTAGCAAGACCAACATATCTATTTTTTCTGTCTACAGGCGGCGTGTTTAACTTGTTTGCTGGGGATCAAATCCAAGTCGTGCTGTCTGGACAAGGGCTGGTCGGCATCGACAAACACACGACGTACATTGGGCTGTTTATGTTGGCTGCTGATGATACATAGTACACCGCCTTGTTTACCCATAGTGTTTGAACTATGCCAATACCTAATTCACAAAGAAACCCTTTTTACGGTGAGAGTCACTGGACCAGGTGCTATAACAACTGATCTGGCAACACCATTTAAACATGGACACAACAAGACAAGACAAAAAACAATGCCAGATAACAATTTTGCGAATGTACATATTCATTCGCAGTTTTGTGAAAATAATGAGTACATTTTTTTGTAGTTAATACATATTTACGTCAGTAATTACTGAGATCGAAAGTACAAAACTCTAGTCCTATGTTTAGTTTATCTAATATTTGTTTTAGGAAATTATTTAAATTAAATATAATTGCACGACTGTTAAGATATTATACATCTATTAGTACGCATTGATTAGTCATAACAAAATGTTTATAGGCCTACACATCAACCTTGAACTAAATCCAAATTCTAAAATTAACATAACATTTGAATAAATCGAACTATTTAAAAATATCGATGAGATAAGACAAGTAAAGCTGATAAATAATATTTATATAAGCAACACATTTAGATACTTAAAATTTAGAAACATTCTCGTACTTAACAAACAACTTATGGAAATAAGTTAGTACGATCTAATGCAATATATTACCAATATTTTTTTCCATTGTTTTCTCTTTGTTAAAATTTTCCTTCTAATTCAAAATAGAATAAACATTTTGTGTTTAAAACGGCAGAGACCATTTCACTTCTCATAAATTATTTCTGATAGTGATTTAGCTTGATACAACGTACAAATCTTATGTAAACTAATATTGCACCTTTGTGCTAAATAAAATATGTGAATTTGAACTTGGAAAAATTGAAATTACACATCCTGACTTCACGGTTCATCGAGTATATGAAGTAGATTCAGAATCAGTGACAGTATGTTGATTTTGACCACACTGGTATTTTGAACTGGAATTATCTTATTTTTGCAAGATGTTACATAAGTGTTGTTTTTTTTTAAATAAATTCTTATTAGTATTTTATGCCCATAATCGTTTTCCGAGTGAATATTATTAAGTACATATCTGTTACTTTATTTGGAATGTAATCTTTAAAAGAATAATTAAGAATTTTACTAGAAATATTGTACCTCATGCAAACAGCAGATTAAACAAAAAATGTTTTTAAAGAATATTAACAAAGTGCGATCTTTTACCTTGACTTTATTTTGTAATACCCATTTATTTGAAGTTAAGCGTATGGTTCTATTACATATTGCCTATTCCACACACTTTATCTCGATAAATGGCTACACGCATTTATTAAAAGCTACCACATATTGCTATTAAATCAAATTTCAATCATTGTTGGCTTACAAGTCTTTATTTAAATTAATCACATTAGACTTATTAACATTTTATTACACAACCCCACTTTCTTTTAATGCAACTTTTGTTTATTTTAATCTTATAAACTTTTATTTAAAAAAAATTAAATTGTATATATATATATATATATATATATATATATATATATATATATATATATATATATATATATATATATATATATATATATATATATATATATCTGTGTGTGTGTATGCACTTTAAATCTATATTTTTTATTAAATAAAAGATTGCACTTTGTATATTTAAAACATTTCTTGATAGTTTCCAAAAGATATATTTCTCTGATACTTCTTTTTAAGTGTAGATTTATAAACTGATCTTACTTTAGTTCTTGTGTGTTTGTAAGGGGAGGGTTGGGGGTCATCTTACTTATGATAACTGAGGTAAACCCCAGGATTACTTTAGTCCATTGGGGGGGGGGTGGGGGAGGAGGGGGGATCGTTAGAAATGTTTAAAGGTTACAGGAGGGAATGATTAGTTGACACACGGGGGTGTAAATATATGGTTGTTGTCATGTACGGAGGAGGTTTGAAGTTAAAGACAAATATTGTATTCTGTAGATTGTCACGTATTGTATTCTGTAGATTGTCATGTAATGAAGTCTGTAGATAAAATCACATTAAATGTATGAAAATCAGGAATATTGTACTATTGTAGTTATTTTATCATTTATTTCAATTAAATAAACGTAGTTTTTTTGTACTTTTACCTTGTGTCAGTGGTTTGATTAGTAAAGCAAACTAAAATAAACGTGGTAAAGAAGCCACTATGTCAGATTCCTTAAATTTAGTAAAAAAAATATCCTCATTAACTTAGTCCTTGTTTACGAAATTATCGATTATTTGTCTTTGCATTACCTGAACGTGTTTCTTTGTGTGAAAAAAAAACAATTGAAATATTACTGAAATCTGAAAATATTTAGAGATCTTTACCATAAAGATCATTTTTAACATATAGTCTATTATCGTTCCCAGTGTATACCTAAGTGTGACATTAATGTCGCTCTACACAATTACGACCTTCCAGTTCTGGTGGTGAGGTGGGGGGGGGGGGGGACCAACACAGAGTAAACATAGCGTCAGTTTTTAGATGACTGATTTAAAAATACATTTATAATAAATACTGCTTTAGAAATATATTTAAATAAGAAACAGTGGTAATAAGACAATAATTTTTTTTTACAGAGGGGTACTTAAAAAATGATACTCAGTGGGCGGTGTTTATCTTATGTGTGTGAAAACTGGAAGTACACACGTTAGAGACAAAATTTGTTTGACTTCCAGAAAAAAAACAACATAATTTACAACCACTCTAAGTAGAAAATCAAATCATCAAATAAAAAAACACTTAGAAAGTATTGTTATACTTCACCATGCGATACTTACAATTATATATTTATTAATTTTTCGTGTGCATATTTTTACATATTACATGTAAAACACATATCTGTTTTTTTTAAATGCATAAAAAGTTCTAATAACAAGCTTTTATGTAATAATGCATTAAAAAGGAGAAAATAAATAAATAATGTTCTTTAAATGTATAATAATAAACTAGGGCCCTACTATTTAAATAAGTATAAACAGAAGCGTTGGTCATTATATTATCTATTGGATACCTTTAATATTATTTAGGAATACACCCACGCTACCCATCTCGAGTTAGCTTAATGATGCACGCATACACACACGCACACACCTACTTGTACGCCACTATAATAGATAAACACACGAACGGAAAGACTAGTGGACAGACGTAAGAAAGAACGGAAGAAAGGACAGACGGACGGACAGACAGAAAGACAGACGCAATTGACATAAATGTAAAACATTCTATTACCGACACAGGAACATGTGTTGTGTGAACCGCTGAGCCTAACCAAAACACCAATCCCATGCTTCTTTTACAGGAAAGTTACCGACTAAAGGGAATCCCCGGCCGATTAGTATCCTCTGCGATAAAAACAGAAAATATTATTCTGCACCTTTTAAAAATTAGGTCAAAGCAGAAAAATATTTTCCAAATAGCTCAACAGGCATATTTACACATACCGATAAAAACAGTCGCCCTATCTGCTCTCCCCTGGCTATGCCTCTGATTGTAGCTATTAAAATAGTTCTCTACAGGAGCAGTGAAACGACACACGACACAATGATAATGACACTTATAAACCCCGATGGGTTGAGCTTACCATCATTTAAGCGGAGACCGTGATTATCAATAAAGCTTACCACAAAAACAATATAAGGATATAGAAATTTTTTTCATACAAGTTTATACGATCTCCAAAACAAAACTATTTTCATATCAAAACAAGATTAGACGCGAGCGTATTTTTTTCGAGAAATTTTAAATTACCTTTTACAAAATAATATTATGTTTGTAAAAAAAAAGTTGACGCTTATTTATATCTAATACGACCTTGGCCATGCCAAATAACAACAAATACAAAGTAAATTATTAACCCAGTCCTCTAATCTCGTTCTAGATATTTTCGGGAAAATCCAGAATATCACGTGACATAACTGGTTTTTTTAAATTCAGAGCTACTATATAAGTAAATACTACCAGGTGCTTAATCTGCTCTCAACAAGCTTTATGCTATCTAAACGATTTTCTCAAATACATTTGTGGTAAAACTTTAACATAATTTAACAATGAAGAAATAACGAAAGAAATGATTGAGGTCATAGGGTCAGGAGGGCAGCCAGCGCAGAAAATGTAGTCCGTTAATTAAACTAACAGTTGGACTGATAGTTTAATTAGTATCGTTTTCTACTTGCACTTTTTTAGTGCTTAACTTGAGCAAATTTAAAAACTTAAAGTGTATATTGAATTTGATAATACAAATTTACTGCTGATTAGATAACGAGTATTATAAATCAAGGAATTTAAGTACTATATTAAATGTTTACATAGCTACCTGAATTCCCTTTATTTCATGTTGTATCAATTTTGATACAAAGTGAAATAACCCCCATTGAATCTACACAAATGTTAAAATCTGAGTTTTTTATATGCCATACTCTAGCTTGATCACTTTTGACCCAAATTCATACCCGAAACAGACTATAGAGTCTAGATGGGTTTCGTCTCACACAATTCGAGTTTGATTCCGTTTTTAGCGCATGTTCCATACTGACAATTGCGATTATTTTACACTGGTCGGACAGCTGTGATCGAGATCAGAGTTTCTTCCAGGCATCTCTTCGGGGGGGGGGGGGGGGGGGGGGGGGGGTCTTAGCCCCCCCGAAAAATTTTTAACCGCCCCCCCCCCCCCGAACGGAATGAAATTTATATAATTTATATAGAAAATATATACTTTTAACATTGTCCGCCCCCCCCCCCCCCGAAGAAAGTTTACCCCCCCCCCCCCCGAAAATCCCCGGAGAAAAAAGTCTGGAAGAAACACTGATCGAGATGTTTTTGAGAAAATAATAAAAATTCACAGGCCGTGTTTTTCTTCTTGAAAAAAATATTCACTAATCTCAGGTGAGTAATTTTACCTAAAAATAAGTTGTTTGCATACTATTTCTTTATATTTGTGCTGATAATGTCCAATTACGGTATGTAACAGTTTTGATACACCATGCAACGGTATGACCATGACATTAGCTGTGACTACTGTATAGTGACTTTTCTGTAGTATAATAATTAGTTGATAGAACAATTCCTAACATCTAGATCTAGTAGGTAGACTCTAGTCAACTGTTGGTTCTTACACTAGCTTAGGTTTGTTTTTCTTTCATATTTTTACAATAATAATATGTAAATTATAGAAGAAAAATAGTGTCAAAATCTGTAACAATAGTAACATAGTCAAGCTGTAGACTATTGAATACTAATTTTACTTAGATTTAGCACTTACTCAGTACTATATATATACAGATGCTACTATAATAAGCCTATAATAAAGGATGTACAGTGTAGTGCTGCTATTGAAGACCAAAAAAAGTGTCATAATGTATAGCAATAATAATATAGTATTAGACTGATATTTACAAGCTGCTGCTTAGAATAACTTGCATATAATTCTCTAATCATACTAATTCATACACAGAGACAGTGTTTGGGTCTAATAAGCTTAGAAAGTAGTATAGTAATTATTATGGAAGAAAAATAATATTAGGCATAGGCCTACATACTTAGTCTACTTATTATTTACTTTATACCGGTACACAAACAGTAATAATTACTATAGGCAGTGGTGGTTTACTTATATTTATAAAAGTAATTAAAACTTAATTTATAAATCAATGAAGCTCATGAATAATTAGAGATTGTTTTAGTGCTGACATTGTTTTATTTATTTTTACAGGATCTCTTTTTGTCTAGAGCGAGCGATAAATTTTGTCGCAAAACTGTTCTGAATGAAATAGATGGTAGACTTCAAGGAGAAAGTCAATGAAAGTGAAGTTGGTGTAATATTTGATTATTCATCTTATGAAGTTACAATCTAATAACTAGGCCTATAGTACATATTGTACTTATTACTTGCAATTATTGTTTTTAAAAAAATGGCATAATAATATTTGATTGACATTCTTGCATATAGTATTTATACTTGCAAATAAAATCCTAATCCTCTAGTATATAAAAAGTAGCAGTGATACATTATTTTTATTTAAATTATAATTTAATTTGTGCATGCATGAAGATAAAGTAAATAAATCTAGAAATAATATATAGTTTCTTTTAGTAGTGACATTTTTTTTTTTACAGGATGGGTAAAGATTCTCACAAAAGAATTCTGTCTGAAATAGAGACTGCATAAATCTTTGGTCACTAATGTCTAATTATTCATCTATTTATTTACCTGATGTTGAAGGTGTTACTGTAACTGAAATTGAACACTTAGAAAGTGATGTAGAGAGAATAAAGCGATTAATTCGGAGCAAGTAAAGCGTTAGACTTTATTCTGATATACATTCATAAGCTGTAGGCCTAAATCTATAAGATGTACATTCATAAGATGTAAGCAGATGCTAGTCCAGCAAAGTGGTTAACTAAAACACATTAATGTTTTCTATTATTTGTGAGGAATAGGAACTGACCAACATAGTTTTTAGTGCAAGGCCTTCCGGCTGTTCAAGATTAATTTATTTCACACCATGGATAAAGACTATCTTAGTATACTGGGTGAAAGGATTTTCTAGATCTAAATTGCACAGATAAAGCTTGAAGTCTTTGATATAGCAGAAATAAATCAACTGATTTCATTGCATAGGAAAAAGTTCTAATAATGGCCAAATATCAGCATTGTAGATATATTCTAATTTCTTTCATATCAACAAGTTTGAGTCATTAAAAACTACTTTGCATTTAAAACAATAACTATTTCCAACTATACTAGATAGAGGTCCTGCTGAGCAAAGTGATGCTGCTTATTGACTTAGACATTAAAAATATGCATGATTACTAAGAAATATGACATAACTGGTAATAGCAATATTGCGAAAAAAATGTAAATTACTATCTTGTAAATGAATTTCTGATGCTCCAGATTTGGGATGAATAAGTGTTTTACTCAAATTAATAATTACTCAATACATTTTCAATGATAAGTAAAAAATAATTTTTTGTCAATTTTAACAAATTTTTACCCACCTTTGCATACTGTATCAAATCTGATATATACTGTTATTTTGCAAAATAAACATTATTTGATAAAATAATTCAATTTCCTCATTATTTATGCTCTCTACACACCACAGCCCACTTTGTAAGATTTTTTTTTCTCAAAAAGCTTTCACAAAATTAATTCATGAAATGAAGGGTAATGATTCTTATGCATACAGACTACAGATATTGAAACATATAATAGCAATTGTTCATGAAGTAAGAAAACATATTATGCTGACACTTTCAATTTTAATGTAATTTTTTTTTTCTTTAGTGCGAGTCTTGAGTAAAGGTGAAAAATAAAGAGTACACGGTTTTGCTGTCAAGTCAAGGTGCCATGACAACAGCAGAAACTTGTCTTGACTTCAGACCAACAGCAACACCATGCCCTGTCTTCATACCACTAACAGCACATGGTGAGTAAATGACTTAATAGTGCTAGTGACGCAAATATTTAAGGAACGGGCCATTTATAAATTGCGGCCAGTTTTTTTCCCCTCGTTGTATCGTCATACATTTTCATAACAAATCATACCCCTCCCTCCCCTAACATAACACCACACTCCTCCCCATTCCCCCTAGAATTTATTGTTTCTATTTTTAGGACCACAGTGGCCTTGGGTGCAGCTGGTTTTCTTTTCGCTGCTTTGACACTGGTCTATGTTCTCGTTCACACAAGAGGCACACACTACCAGGCAGACGGCGTGAGTTCAAATCTATTTTTTACAGTAACCAGTGGCTGAACTGCTGGAGGGGGGGGGGGAGTGGGTTAGAATGGCTAGGTGACCAGAATTATGTAAAACAAAATTTTTTTATTTGAGTTTTTTTTTAAATTCAATCACACATTGTCGTCGACAGACTTAAAAAAAAAAAAATCTTTAAAATCCACACTAAAAAGCTTGTTATTTTAAATGTTTATATATTTGTTTTATTTTCCACTTTTAAGTCATTTACTCCAAATGAAGTCGACTCTACGTTGACTAAGACTAAACATATTTGCGTTAAAACCAGACAAGTAGCTTGTGGTCTGTAAACGAAAATTATCTGCCCTTCTTAACTCTTAAAAAACCAGTCTGCTGCGAAAAAAAAAACAGTTCGCATTATTCACATTGTCTGAGCTGCTTGGCTAATCTGTAGTATATAATTTTGTTACCTCCCCTTTATCATTAATTTTAGTAATATGTTAATACAGTTTGAATGACTTATCTAATTAGATACTATTGTATTGTCATTGAAGAGGAAAATATCTCGAAAGTTTAAACACAATTTGTGAATTAGATTATGGGTCAAAATTGAGTTACAAGATTTACTATAAACTCACAAAAAGCAAACAAATAGATTTTAAGATTTTATTTAGTATTCAACCGTAGTAAAAGCTTGTACTATAGATCCTGAGGCTACAAGAATTGTAAGTCAGACGATCGTGCTTAAGTTATTGACCTCTACATTGAGTTGTATAATACTGACCCAGTCAGCACACATATATTGGCCCAATATTGGCTAAACATTGGTTACCAATATTGGCTACATCTTGGTGCAACATTGGCTTAACCTTGGTGAAACATTGGTAGTGAAACTCGGCATGATGTTGGCGCAATGTTGGCACAATATTGGCTATATCCCGGCTACATATTGGCCCAACATTGGCTAGATCTTGGCCAAATATTGGCTATATCCCGGCTACATATTGGCCCAACATTGGCTATATCCCGGCTACATATTGGCCCAATATTGGCTACATCTTGGCTCAATATTGGCTATATCTTGGCCCAATATTGTCTATATCATGGTTACATCTTGGCCCAATATTGGCTACATCTTGGCTCAATAATGGCTATATCTTGGCCCAATATTGGCTATACCTTGGCTCATCCTGTATTATATCCTGGCTACATCTTGGCCCAATAATGGCTATATCTCGGCTATACCTTGGCTCAGCCTGTATTATATCCTGGCTACATCTTGGCTCAAATTTTTATTTTTAGCATACAAAAAGATCCATTCTCATATCAGTCATAATATTTACAAAGGTAATTTCAAAATGTGAAAGAAATTTTAATCAAAATGTAGTAAAGCAGCAATACATACACAAGAACTGCTCATCTATTAAAATCTGTATTATACCATCCATTCAATTGTAAGAAAATTATAACTATACTATAAAGTATTGAGTGAAAAAGAATATGTAAATAATAGTGTAGTAACTTTCATTTTGACTTTTATACAAACAAATTAAAACAAATATACAAAACATTTTCATATAATGTAACAGATGTTAAGCAGGCCTACAGTTTAAATTAAACTAATGTAAAAACTTAATTTACTGTACAAGAATACAGAAGCTGTCTTGTACTATGATACGTAAACATAACATTAAAAATAAAAAGTATAAAATATTTGTCTAACAACATTTAATTGCATTGCTCGTTTAAGTATTCTAATTAAGGTTTACATTTTAATGCTGGACCAGTCTGCCTTGTCCATAAATAACAGAACGAAAATATGTTCAGGATCTCTAGATTATAATTGTGGTTAAATAGTGTTGAAATGAATGCCATTGTGTATACAAAATGTACAATCTTTCAAAAGACAGATGGTTCGAGGGTTTATACGCATTGTGTAGAACAGGAATATCACTGCGATATTCAATAAATGTTTTTTTGTCTCGAGTATGAGGTATTTAATTATAGTAAACTAAATATATATTAATTTACTTCATTAATTAGAAATAAATATCACCAGCAGAAGTATTGTCAATACAAATGTTGCAAGCTTTTTTCAGATTGTACAGTGAAACTAAATAATGAAAGAAATTTGCAACTAATTCTTTAAAGAAAAAAATGTCAATTGTATATTTCATTTAGGGCATTAAATCTACACTAAACATACACACAATGCAAACTTAAATTATTATATTATTACAAAAGGAAACAAAATATATTAATTTAAAATCAGCATTGTTCTTAGACTATTTTGGTAAGAGAATCTTTTCTTTTCGTTAAGCACTTAAATGCAATATGTATTAAACTGTTAACCTGATCCATCTGATCAAATTTTTTTTTTAAAATCTGATCTAAAATTATTACGAAAATCACTGTTGTCCTCATTCTTGTGGACCCTTGTGGAGCTGAGAGACACAACCACACCTCTCTATTTTTATACTTGGTTTTAGGAGATTCCCCAAAGTTGGGTCCATAACACTCTGCCTGCTTGTGTTTTGTTGGTTTCTGATATTTTCCATGTTTGTTTTGGATAACAAACTTTCTCTTTCCTTTGGGATTCAAATCCAATAAAAGCCTGGTTGTTGATTTGTGCAAGGTATGTCATAATCCATCCACATTCTAAAAAAGAAAAGTTACACACTAAAAGTCATTTATGAAATAATTACAACTATACACTGCTCATTTTGCACTAAATTTATTATGTTTATTTTATTTTGCACTGCACTGAACATACAACAAGAAGCCCCTAACATCATGTTTGCTACCTTGTAACGATATATTATATAGGTATAAAGACTGGTGGTCTGGGGTGTTCATGCTACCCAGGTAACACTTATACTGCATATATATATATATATATATATATATATATATATATATATATATATATATATATATATATATATATATATATATATATATATATATATATATATATAAACAAAAGTGAAAAAAAAAGACCTGGTAATAAAAAAAATAATAGTATGTATATAAATATTATAAACCCCTTACCCTATGTCTCTGAGTTAAGAAGGTGCCAGACAACTTTTGAGCAATTTCATCAACTTTATCAATTCAGTAATTGAACGATTAGATCCTTCAGAGTGACCCAGAAGTAATGCTTGTGGTCTGAAATTATTTTACTAATATCAGTAAAGGCATTAACTACACATGCTGATCATTACATGCAAGCAAAAATTACTAAATGAAAATTATTATTCACTTTGAAACAATGTAAACTTACAGTTGTTAAGTGTTAAGAACATTTAGTCATTTTCTGGTGTAGCCAGTATTTGGTGAAGTATCAAGCAGTGGGGACCTTATAATTTATTAAAAGATTGATACAGTGGGCTGATTGATATACACAACACCTGGAGGCCTGAAAATAAATGGCATTCTTAGTTATTAAATATAATAATAAAATGAGTGAGTGATACAATAAATGATAGCCAGATTAGATACTAATTTTTAAGTATCTCTGTTTATTTGATCTCTGTATATAAAGGATTTGTGTAGTCAACACTATATCTAGCCACCTTTTTTATTTCATAGTCTTAAATTGGGTATATATCAGACTTAGGTGAACTGATGAATGTACTACTAACTTGGCTTTATGTTTAGCAATAGTGTCCTCAACCATTTGCCTACTCTGTCCTCTATATGATTATATGAGTAGTGTTGATCATTAAGTATGGCTTACTAATAGTACCATCTTATCGCTGTTGGTCATGAAATTAAGTGTTGCTCTGAGGTCTCCACACTACTATTTACACAACTTACATCTTATTCATCAAAACATGCATTAGACTGGAATCCCCAGGGAAAAAGGAGGGTGGGCCGGCCAAGGAAAACATGGAAGAGAACGGTTGAGGAGGAGGCGAAAACAGCTGGGCTCTCATGGGCACAGATTAGAGGAGCAGCCCAAAACCAAGTCCGCTGGAGATGTGTGGTTGCAGCCCTTTGCTCCCCAGGGGCCACAAAGGAGTGATGATGATGACATCTTATTCTCCCATAGGGAGCTGTAACAGTAATAGAAATTTGAATGACAATCTTGAATCAATTTAGAATTCTAGTTGACTAATTTTTTTCAAAATTAATACCTATCAAAATACACTGTTTAACATGTAGAAATTTGTTCTATAATTGTGTCTACTGTTCCTCTCTCTCTCTGAATTAATTATTAAAGACAGTTTCAAATCCTTACACAAATAGGCCTAGAACAATAAAATTAAGTTTTTTTTAAAGTTAAAGTGAATGATTATTTATTAATTTATAAACATTTAAGCCCCCCCCCCCCTTCCCCTGTGCTTGATAACTATACCTAATACCTAAAGTTGAAAACCAATAAATACATCGATCTATCAATAATCAATATAACCCCAAACGTACTTGCATACTTTTCAGTACAAAAAAAAAAGTGCTGTCAAAATTAACCGCCCTCTGATTACGATTTTTAGTTATTTAGTATTATTAGAATCTAGATCTATCTAGATCTATCATAAAGGAGATTATTGTAAAATGTAATTATAGCCTAATGCCAAAATAAACAGAATATAGACTCTAGTATTATTAATATATAGATCTAGACTAGATCTAGAATCTAGATCTAGGCTCATTTTATTACCTCAAATAAACTACCTTTTATAACTTTTATTTGATGACTTAGGCCCATAAAGTTAAAGTTTCCAACAAAAAAATACGAGTTTTCCAGATTCTGCATAAATACAGTTATACTACTTCTCACTGTTGAACTAAAATGGCTACAGTGGGCCTACCTGTTTTACTGTGACTGGATACAAAGTCTTTTGTTAAGAAAAATGGCGAAGCACCGGGATGCTGGCTTGCGAACAATAGGAAGGAATGTGAACAAAGGGACAATGGGCGACAGGGGGCCGGTGGCAGTAGCGCACACAATTTTAAAAAGATTAACAAAATGTTTAACACATGCAACGTAGTCTGTTATTGATGCTATGTTTACATTAGAGCATGATATTAAAAGATAAATTAATTTTAGTTAACATATATTAAGTTTAACAAGCATATTTAACTAAAATTTCTGCAGTGAATCCATAAATCAGTGTAATCTTGGCAGCCAAGGTAAAAACGGTTAAATATCAAGGTATCAAGGGATGCAAGCATGTACAAATCTTGGCTGTACCCTGGCGTAAGCTTGTCCAATGTTTGGCCATGATTACAACATTGGGCCAAGCTTGGGCCGACCCTGCTATTACATACTGTGTTAGCTGGGGAGCCTAAAGTAAATTTTTATTTTACCAGTGTGATTTCATCTCGCTATTAAAGTATTGAAAAATCATAAATAGGCTACTTATATTTAAAATTAAGTATGAATACATAATGTAATTGGAATTTTTTTTTCTTTTGCAGATTTTAAATTTTACAGAGATGAATACAGTTAAGCATGCTTTTTTTTTTTAAATTGGATAGTAATTTTATGTTAGTTTGGCCATTAAGATTAGACTTTAGAGTGTGGTATTCACAATTAGCTGATAAGAGTGGTCATTTGAAGGATGAAAAATGAACCTTTTAAAGAATAAATTTTCCAAAAATAAAAAATAACAAACGTTTTTAACTTAAAAAGAAAGGTTGCTTTCTCAGATCACCTAACATTTATAGTACAGAATTGGTGTTTCTTCGAAAATGACAAATTAAGAATATTAAACTCAACAACAACTTGAAGCTCACGTTTTTTTGGTGTAAAACGTCGAGATTTGTAAAAATCGGTGTCCGGTCAATAAACCCCTGGACAAAAACCCCCTGGACAAAAACCCCCCGCGACATAAACCCCCTGGAAAAAAAAACCCGCGACAAAAACCCCCTAGACATTAAACCCCCACGATATAAACCCTCTGGACGAAAACCCCCAATTGAGGTTTATATAAGGAAAAACCAAAGATGATGAGAACCAAAATTAATATATAAAACTGTTTTATTTTTATTATAACTTTAAAAAGACTGAGTGATGATCTGCTGGGATGTTGCTTCCATTTCTTCTGTCAATTGTTTCATCTGCTGCACTACTTTACACACTTCATGTTGAGTTTGGACCTGGTCCATGCGAATGTTCATTACATCGTCCAACAAACTGTTCACCATGAATCTTTATCTTAACTTTGCATTCTGCTTTGTTGCGTCTTTTGGCACACTCAAATGACACTACGCCGTTCGCCAGATCTTTTTGCTTGACAAACACATCCTTCAAAAATCACTTTTAAATTGCCTTTATTGGATTGAACGAACTCCATTCCAGAAATTATACGATTTGTGGAGAAATAAATTTGATGTCGTATTTATACCATCGTTCTGTATGCCAAGGTGGATATGAACCAAGCTTCCGCCGGCGAATCTCTCACATCTTTTGTATTGTTAAACATGTGTTTCTTTGATCCGCACGGCTCCCACATGTGGATGACCTATATCTAAGGTGTTGTCGGTGCCCGATCTTTGATCAAATACAAGGAAGGGCACCCCTTGACTTTCGAATAGCATTTTTTAGGTTGAAAATATTTTCTTAGTGGTGAAATAATTAAATTAATTTAATGTAATTTTTTTTAAATTCTTGGTTCACATCATCGTTATTATTTCTTTATATAAACCTCAGTCCGGGGGTTATTATCCGGGGGGTTTATGTCGCGGGGGGGGGGGGGGGGGGGGGGGGGGGTTACCAGGGGGTTTATGTCGCGGGGGGAGGGGTTTGTCCAGGGGGTTTATGTCATGGGGGGATTTTGTCCAGGGCGTTTATGTCGGGGGGTTTTTGTCCAGGGTTTTTTTGACCGGACACCTTTTTTTTTATTCCAGTAGGCAGACGAGCCAGTCCACCCCTGCTGATTTTACAAAAACAATTGTATTTACATAACCTCATCAAACCTGGAATAAACATGAGTCAATATACGTATTAGACCACATTATTGGGTTAAAACAATAGAAATATATAAGTATTAAATTTGGCGTAAATCGTTAAGTACCTGTAGTTTGACGTTCCAAACAATTATTTTCACCTATATGATTACAGGTGTGTACCATGAGACTGTTAGATATGGGCCTGATGTTTCTTTAGTTTCGGCACACAGGCACCTGCTGCAACCAATCAGGCATGAAGGTACAGAGAAGTTGCCAGGTAAATCAGTCAATTTTGTGCAGCAGTGACATGAATATTCGGATATTTGTGTGTGCGTGGGATTGCACATGATTGCGTGTGTTAGATTGTTTGTAGATATAGAGATTTTACAATCCATTAGAGCAGGGGTCTCCAAACTTTTCAGTCTGAGGGCCGCATTAACTATCAAATTTCAGTTTTGGGGCAAGTTTCTTCCAGGCATGTCTTTGATTTTTCTGCGCCAAGTTCCTCGTCATCACCAACAAACGATTTTTCCTTGGACAAAAAGATCTCCGCGGGCCGGATGAGAGGACTTCGCGAGCCGCAATCGGCCCGCGGGCCGTAGTTTGGAGACCCCTGCATTAGAGCCAAGAGATTAGTGTATATGGGTAGGATTTTGGATAGCTCAGTATGCCTTTAAAATATATCAGACTGGGAATTCGACAGTTAGCATTTTATACTGCTAGCTAAACTATCAAAATCAATATCATCTGTCCACCGACAATTCTCGAAACGTAAATGTATTAGAAATAATTGAATACAATGACTTTTTTATGTACGTAAACAATATGTTTTTTTATCTGTATTCACTAGTAACAATTTAAATTGAATCACACATCAGAAACGTTAGAAAAGTTAGATTATTGTTAGTATACATCTTTCTATTTCCAGAAAGTAAGTAATTATATGTCTATTTTCAAAATAGTATAAATCTAAATGTCATCAGCTTTGCATTTAATCCCTGAAATCTTATAATCTGATTTCTAGATCCCAGTTTCACTCACCGTGTTGTGGCTCGACTGGGTTCGCATTCCAATGTTTCACTGTCCGAACACTCGCGGGGAATCAAAGTGTTGGATGATGCGCTGGAAATTTTTTACGAAGGTACGAAGATAAATCATTTTACAGGTGTAGGAGGAGAGGGGTTATTGTTGAAAAAAAAACAACAATTTACTAATTAGTGCATATTTTAACTTTTAAAATATATATTCATATTTTAAAGACATGAACTTACATTTTTTATGTTGTAATTTTTAAAAATACTGATTCGCCATGTAAAGATAAGCATTTCAAGCTTTATTCTATTCCTATATTTTAATATTACTTTTAATAATATGTTTGATCAATGGAAATTTAAAATGAAGACAGTTACCTCCCCTCTTTCTTTACAAAAAAAATTAATATAACAACTCGGAAATGAGTAGTTCTTTTTAGCAGTGTATATAAATCTTTCACGTGAACATAAAACCGGTCGTATTTTAAAAGCAATAAATTTAAAGCTCTTTGATAGTGGCAGGTTTGCAATTGCCTAGCGGTCGATCGGCGTATTTTTGAAATCTGATATCTCAGTGTACAGATTTAGTCTATTTTTGGGCATACGCGTAACACTACACCTATCAATAGGTTGGGCTTTTAAAATTTTCCATGTAGTTGCATTTTAATTTTACTTTAATACTTAACATTTTATAACTTATATAAATTATGTTATGAAACGTTTGTTAAGCTTAGATTTTCAATAGTTTTATTCAGAGTATTTTCCAGTCCCCCCCCCCCCCACCACTTGAACGAAATAAAATTTATATAGAAAATATATACTTTACTAGTGTCCGCCCCCACCCTCCCGGAAAATTTAGTCCGCCCCCCCTTTCCGAAAATATCAAGGGTTGTGTACCCCCCCCCCCCCCTCGGAGAAAAAAGACTGTAAGAAAACGCTGGTTTTATTCTCTCCCCTTCAAAAAAATAATTGAAAAAAAAAAAAAAAGTGCAACTGTTAATATTATCTGTCACGAATGTCGATTCTTCGAAGATTTACTATCATCTTTAATGTTACAGTGTCAGTTAAATTGAATGTGTATTGATTTTTCAGGGTTTTACTTTGTTTACAGTAACGTAAACTTCAAGGCAAACAGCTCACGATTTTCCTCAGAATTTATATATCAAGTACGATGATGCGATAAAAATGTGTCTTAAAAAAGTATTGTTTATAATTTTACGTATTTCTGTTTTTCATTTTGATCCACACCTAACTTCTAACAAGTAGAATTCTATTTAAAACGTTTTTTTTCTTTCTTTACAATACCTTAAAAGAATACATATTAAAAAAAATATGAGTTCTAATAAAACCTTATCAAATATGTGTTTCATTTTTCCAATGAACATTTTTTTTTCTTTATTACTCCTTTCCGAATACATATTCTTTTTATATGATTATATAACAAAACTTGTATTAAATAAGTAAGATAAAATTCAATGGTTCTGGTATTTTATCATTCATAGAATAAACGTGCAGGCGTTAGAGCACCTTTAAAATAATGAAAGTTACCTAAACATATTCTTCTGTTGTATCTTAGAACATCTTTCCTGCAATAATTTATATATATATATATATATATATATATATATATATATATATATATATATATATATATATATATATAGTTTATTGTTTTGTATTCGGCATGTTTAAAAATAACTGAAGGGGAATTACATGAAAGAAAAATACCCCTAATTCAAACATTTCCATGCGTTATTTTTGCAGACCTGGTTCCAGTACGTGAGCCGTAACTGTGCCAGAATCCCCATGATGTCCGGCGTGTTGTTACGTACTGTCCACACCGTGTGCCACAACTGTACCCTCAATCAGGAGACGGCTTTTACCGGTGTGTGGTGTTTGTGGTAATTGGTGTGTAATGGTTGGTGTGATGTGGTTGGTGTGTGGTGGTTGTTGTGTGGTGGTTGGTGTGTTGTGGTTGTGGTAATTGGTTTGTGATGGTTGGTGTGATGTGGTTGGTGTATGGTGTTGCTGTGTGATGTTGTTTGTGTGTGGTGGTTGCTGTGTGGTGGTCAGTATGTGGTGGATGGTGTGTGGTGGTTAATGTGTGGTGGTTAATGTGTGGTGGTTAATGTGTGGTGGTTATTGTGTGGTTGTTAATGTGTGGTTGTTAATGTGTGGATGTTAATGTGTGGTGGTTGGTGTGTGGTGGTTGGTGTGTGGTGGTTAGTGTGGTGGTTAGTGTGTGGTGGTTGGTGTGTGTAGTTAGTGTGTGATTGCGAAAACGGTTAAAGAACATTTATTTTTTGTGCACGGATTCTATACTTTCTTTTTACTCTATATTCGAGAAAATAAATTTCATAACAATTTCCTGATAACTATAACAAACATTCAATGAAAACTTGTGTGAGTATTTCTACATTTAAAATGTTTGAACTTTAAAATCTAAATAAATTAATATTTTCCTATCATAACTTTCCTTACGGCCCATGTGGCAATTGAACGAGTTCAATGCTTTCTTGTGACCTCGATACATACTGTATGCCTCATTACTGCTAACATTTTCTGTGTTTGAATAAATGTTATAGGAACGTAATGATCAATTGTTTCCCTTATCTTTTGCATATTGTTAAAATGGGAAGTAACTAGCACAGAATAATAATTAGTTTTTTTCAACATTGATATCTAAACGCGACGCATTACATAATTACATTGATTATTGAATTTGGTTAGAACCTTTTAAAAAGTAATCTTAGAAGAACACAAAAGAACAAAGCAGTCAATACACACAAAAAAGAAACAAGAAAAAAGAACTAGATAATTAACTCTATCAAACTTCAATTCGAAAAGTTTTTCCCATTTCTACGCATTTCACCTATCCAGGCGGAGTTTTCTACCTACTACAAGGTGACACTATACAAGTAGTTTTCTCTGGTCAAGGAATCGCCCAGTTCAACACTGTCGAGTCTTACATTGGATTAGTTATGATTTCCAGATAAGCCATCCGAAAGCCTAATACCACACCTGCTTGTGAAAACGTCTGTGTACTGAGCTGAGAGACAGGGTTATTTACCTGCTTGATTAGCCTTATTAAGTTACACAAACCTGATCCGGTAGAAAGAACAATGCCACTATTCATTTAGTACGATAAGAAGATCGCAGTCTTAGTCGTTTTTAAGTGTTTTAGTCAAACAGTAGTTTAGTTCGACCGCTGCAAAAATGTATGTTTTAAAGGTAATACATTAAAATGAAAGATTTTTTTTTATTTTAAAATTATTTTTTATTAAATAAAAGATTAATTTATTTTTATCTCATTATCTCATGCACATTTTATAATTTAGGACATTTTTTTTACAAAGGTGAGGGGCGGTGGGTTTGATTTTCACATTATGTCTTTTCTAAATTAACCAAATATACATACGATTGACTATTTTTTACAATGTATATAATTTTATCAACTCGCGTTTTTTTTTTCTATAACAATAAAGTGTTGAGATTAATTTCATTTTAATTTGAAAAAATGTAAAATCTTTTAAATGTTCTTACTATTTTAATTTTATATGTCAATGTTGTTGTAACATTAATAGTTTAGTAATCAGGTAAGTAAAAGCTTGTAATAATCACTTTTAGTTTCAAATTAAGTTAATCATTACTTATTAACGAGATTTGTGATATTGTTAAAAACGCAAACACGACACTCATTAAGGACAAAGGTTAGAAATATACCTAAAATTTATGTACATTTTAAAGCATTGTAACAATCGGGTCATTTATGAGCTACGTTCTATGTTTATTTATGTTTACGGATAGTACATGTATTAAGCTAATGGTTTGATGAAATTAAGATATGTTTTATATGTTTTACATTTCTTCTCCTTTATCCGAGAGGTTAACCTGCATGTAAAATACATAATACATTTCTAGTATAATCAATAACTGATATTTTATGGCTAACGCGATCTTTCTTTGCATGTAAGCAATTAGAGCGAGTCCTGATTGCGAGCTATTCAATTCACTCAATTTAAAGCATATACATTGTTTCTAATATTTTTATAAACCGAAATGTATCGATTTTTCATCTTATTTTATTGAACTTAGTTAATGTTAATAGTTTTTATTTAATTTTTATTTAATTTGCTTCCTCTGTCTGTCGTGCTTATGTCGTTATGGACTATTAAATTTTAGTATTTACAAGCTGTCTGTCGTCTGTCAGTTGCATTAGAGTTCTAAAGAGTTGAGAGTATAAGGGATTTTACGGATCCTGCATATGAAGAGATTTTGAGGTCAGCACTATGCCCAGCCACCTTTACTATCTCATACATGAGTCAGCTACCCACCAGAGCTGGATTAACTACTCGTGCCCTAGATCCGAATCCGAGAAATCATGTTTAGCAGTCGTGCACTTTACCTTCGACAATGCCGTCCCATAAATCCTGAAAACTTTCCAGTTATATCTATTTTTAATAGATATAAAAAGAAAGCGAGAGTGATCTCCCCTAAAAAAATTTCTCATTGAAATCTCATAATTTGATTGTTGCCCATCATTCAACTTTTATCGCCCAAGTACCATTTAATTTTATTGAATTAATGCCTTGCCATATTCTCATCGGTATGTGAGGACTGATACAGATTTACAATTTTAATACTTCTTTCTGATAAAATCTTAAATTCATTTAACACGGTTTACTTATACATAATACAAAAAGTCTAATTACAATTTTATTTTTAAACCTAAAAATGCAAATATGTAATTAATGGTAATTCATTGCTCTATCGACAAAAAAAAAAATTAAAATAAATATTGAAAAATAAGCGTCACGTATGGAATGAACTTTATTATGTAATGCCTTAATTGTTTTTTAAGTTGTAGATAAACTTTCCAGTTGCTCACTTATTTGACAAAATAACAAAAAGAAAATAATGCATACGTTCACTCTGTTAAATTGTGTATATAACTGCTCAATTTCAAATAGTATACTTTTTTAGTCTGATTGTATTTTTACAAAGATTGAAAAACGTAATGTGTCTTTATGCTCATAATTTCTGTTCTCTAAAAAGTATTAGTCAAATTTCACACCGTGGCTAAGCACGGCCATACAGTTAGTTTATTATAACAGTAATGGGGACAACCATTGTCAAATTTGACAACCAAGAGCTTTTGCCAACTCGACCACGCCTTTAACACAATCAAGTATACGTGTCAACTGGTTATGCGCCATTGAGGTCATTGCCTGCTTTTCTCTTTGGATTTGCTTCCAAAGCCTTTGGAGCAAACTACAAGGCAGCAGTTGTTTGATTTTGGAGTTGTCTCCCCTAGAAGAGTGGTTGTCCACAGCTCACGAGCCTCATCTGGCCGAGGGTCCGAACTTGAGACTTTTCGGTTTAGCAACCATCAGCTTTATCGACTCGACCACGCCGTCCCCTTCTTTAGAAATGAATTGTGATTAATTTTAATTCAATTTAATAATGACACTCTAAAAATAAAATAGAACCGAGTAAAAAAAAAAGAACTGATCATAATTTGAACGCAGTCAGCGGAAATATAGACTTTGAAATAGTGTATATTACTACTTAAGTATAAAATTACATACACATAACTGAAACGATATTTAGTGTATCGTTTTTTAAGAATCCTAACAGTTATCAGCAATTTTTAAAAATGTTTCCACCCAGAAAGTGAACACAAGGAAATCTCAAAGCACGCGAGTGGCTCTAAATCATTGTTATTTTTCGCTTTTGGTTGAATTATTTATTTATTTAATACGAGCCGGCCCGCGGCATAACATACGCCGCTATTTAGTTGTTTTTTTTTCTACTTTTCAGTAATTCATAATTTGTGAATTCGACAGTACCAACGCTGACACTGAAAATATTTCTTTAAAACACTATAAGTAGCTCGTTAAGGACCATAACCCCCCCCCCCCCCTTCCTCCCCCCCAACGTTTAAAATCGTTTCAAACTAAATTATCTGCCCCTAATAGCCGTCACTTAACCCGACTAAATATAGCGTGAACCACAGCTCACTAAGACCATGTAGGGGTGGGGATGGTACGGAGCGCGTTTACAGCTTGTTTTCTAGCGTCTCCCAGAAGAGAATTATATATATAGATTGATAGGAAATTCGCGCCGGAAAGAAACCGCCTAATAATTAATATGAATCTAACTCAGATCAAGTGAATTACAAGTTTGGTTAATTAAAGTTTGTTTCCCAATTAAAACAAAATACAAAAGAGGTGCGCCAAAGCGACGCATACATAAGCGACGCGCTACAACCATACACGCCCCGCGCGGGCGTTCTGCTAGTTATTTATAAAAGCTTGCTATTAGAACGTTGTTCATGATTTTTAAAAAGTAATGTGAGTTTTGTTTTGTTGACCTCTATATAATAAACAGTGAATTGTGTATTGATTGTATACTCAACTAAGTATCTAACTCTATTTAAATAACTCCAAACATCTTTTGAAGCAGTATCTTAATAATTTTTGGATAACTGAAAACGAATGGACAAATTGAAAGCAATAAATGGTATTATTTATATAATGCGTATACAATTATGTATATGCGTAAACATTTTTTTATTTATGTGATTTTAAACATGCCTGCCATTTATAAGTGTTTTTTTAAAATCATGGACACAATAAAGACAAGAAACAAGCTGAAAATACATTTACATATATCGATTGTTGTAGGGAGTCACTCTGGTTTCATCCTCTTTTTTTTGATCTTGTACTTGGTCGTAGATCATCTTGGCAACAGCAGATGCACCAGTAAAAATCGCCCCTAATGGACCTGCGACTATAAACCCACCAACTGCTGCTCCGAACAATGCAACTTGGCTCTGTAATGAAATAACAGATAACGACTTTACTTGTTTAATATCAGCACTCATTGTAAACATTATAACATATATACTCTAATTTTAGAAAAAAAAAATTCATTGAGAGAGTTTAGACAAGTAGGGCCTACATGGTTATGAGATTTTGTGCTAAAGATATGTTATTGAAGATCGAGGTGTTTTTGGTAATTTTAGCTGTTGTTTCCTACCTAATATGGTTGTAAATTTTAAATGTGTCGGTAAATAAAGCGATCAGAAAGATTTTTTAAAATAAAAGTAATAAAATCACTACTGTATTATTATCATGATATTGAAAATTAGTTCTTTCCAAAAATCTGTAACGAGAGGTATCGACAAGGACAAAAAATAATACCAAGTCAGATAAACATTATATCTATTGCCGTTAATGGTGGCAAAACATCGAATTAATGACGTTGTTTTGAAAATGTTGTTTGAGCGATAGTTAAGCCCGTACCTGTTCACTTTCCTCAGTGTCGTATCGACACCATTTAGCAAAGTGCTCGCAATTTTTCAAAAACGTGTGGTATTTGATGGGACCTATTTTGCTAAGTGCCCTTGAAACAACTTCGTCACCACTGAAATGTCTATAATCAAATAAAAATCTTATTACATCTCTGAATACTGCGTTTCCGGATAATATGAAATAAGTTGTCTTAACATGTGGACACACACACACATACACACGCACACACACTCGCACGCTTATGAAGACATATATATATATATATATATATATATATATATATATATATATATATATATATATATATATATATATATATATATATATATATATATATATATATATATATATATATATATATATATATATATATATATAATATATATATATATATGTACTTTATATATATATATATATATATATATATATATATATATATATATATATATATATATTTATATATATAATATATATATATATGTACTTTATATATATATATATATATATATATATATATATATATATATATATAATATATATATATATATATATATATATATATATATATATATATATATATATATATATATATATATATATATATATTTATATATATACTAGCGTATCCGACCCCCGCGCGTTGCCGCGGGGATAGCAGAAAGTTTGACGAAATATATTATGATTTCACCAACGCGTTATCAATTATAATTATATGTTCTTAGACACGTGACCTTCTTTTCTAAAAATGAGTTATTTAAATGTAAGCAATGCCTGTTCTTGGATCATAAATATCAGGACACGGATTTACCTACACTACCGCATGAAAACCTTGAGTCTACATTAATCACTCACCGAAATAATATGGTAGAACACACTTCGGTGACCGCCTCTGTGTCAGAGACGTAGATGGGCGCTCTCAGGGCCCCCACCCCCCCCCCCCCCCGATTACACTACCGCATAGGCGCGGCGTACGACCCCTGGCTCCTTAAAACTAACAGGCGCTATCGGCCGAATAGGATCCTGTTAATAATGATGCAGATTTCGTCATTCGCTAAAATGAACAGGATTTTTTCTTTAACACGTAAAAAAATTATTTGACGTGTTTTAAATATCAGTGTGACTTATGCAATATGCTAGCGTTACTAATGGTCTATTAGAAGCTCGATCTCAATTTCTGACTGGATCGTCTAATAATAGATGCTTATTGCATCATTCGCAAAGTGACGAAACTCTACAGTAGGCTCCTCATATTCAAAAAGTAATTTTTTCATTTTTGGCAAGGTGACGAAACTGTACAGAAGGATTTCCTCGCGTTACAAAGTTATTTTTAGAAGACTGTTGTAGTTTTACCGCTGAGTATAGTAGTACCCCTTACTCGCTTTGCAGGACGCTCGATTAACGGGTGCCAAGTGCCAACATAGTCGCTCTAAAACTCTGGGCGCCAAACCGTGTATTGACGAAAGTTGTACCCTACATGGCGCCGCTTATAAGAAACTTTAGTTTTCTTTTTCGCAGAAATATTCTCGGGAGTATTCTCATCTACTTCCTAAAGTTTCATGGCACTCGGATGAACCGCATCCGAGTTTTATTTTTTATATACCGTGTATAGAGAAAAAAAGCGCTCCCCCCTGGGGGCGCCGCCCTTGCAATATCAAAATTTTTTTGCAGAACCCTACCATTGAATGATTTAATCATCTCCCCAAAGTTACATGGTACACGGATGAACGACGTGAAACCGAAATAGACTTTTATTTTTATAAACGGTATATAGAGAAAAATTGCAGCCTCCCGTGGCGCCGCCCTTGCAAAATTAAAAAAAGGATTTTTTTTACAGAACCCTTCCCTTAATTGTTCTAATCAACTCCCCCAAAGTCACATGCCTATCGGATGAACGGTGTCACTGCAATTCACTTTTATTATTTTTATATACCGTAAATAGAGAAAAATCGAACCCTCCCGTGGCGCCGCCCTTGCGAAATTAAAATTATTTTTTTAACAGAACCTTTCCCTAGAGTGTTCTAATCAACTCCCCAAAGTTTCATGCCTATCGGATGAACAGTGTGAAATCAAAATAGACTTTTATTTTTATATTCCGTATATAGAGAAAAACAAATCGCGCCCTGCCGGGGCGCCACCCCTGCGAATTTGAAATTTTTTTTTTCGCAGAAACCTCC